ATAGAATTACCATATGATTCAGCAATTCCACTTCTGTATATACCCCAAAGAACTGAAAGCAAAGTTTCAAAGACATACTTGTACACCCATGCTCATAACAGCATTATTAGCAACAGACAAAAGTATAAATAACCCAAATGTCCATCAACAGATGAATGGATAAACAAGATGTGGTATATATGTATATGCAATGGAATATTATTCAGACTTAAAAAGGAAGGAAATTCTGACACATGCTACAACATGGATGAACCTTGAGACCTTAATGCTAAGTGAAATAAGCCAGACACCAAAGGACAAATCCTGTATGTATCCACTTACATGAGGTTCCTAGAATAGTCAAATTCAGAGACAAAAAGTAGAATGGGGGTTACCAGGAACTGGGGGAGGGGAGAACAGGGAGCTAGTGTTCAATGGGTACAGAGTTACAGCTTGGGAGGATGATCAAGTTCTGGAGGTGGATGTGGTGATAGTTGCACAACAATGTGAATGTACTTAATATCACTGAACTGTATACTTTTTAACCTCTTTTAAGGGTTAAAATGGTAAATTTTATGTTAGGTATATTTTACCAAAAAAAAAAAAAAAATCAATAAAAGGATGGAAGTTTCAGCTAGTCTAAATACTCTAGAAGGATTTTTAAAGAGGGGACACACGCAGAAACCCATACCTTTCATCTTCCCCCTCCTCCATGAGGACAGAGGTGGGTGACAGGACCAGGCCGCAGGAGGGGCAAAAGAGCCACCATCAGGCAACACAGTGACCTGCAGACCTCTGAGAGGAAAGGCCGATTCCTCCTGTGCCCCCTGACCCCAGAGACAAGACAAAGAACATGAGACGAGGGGCACGTGGTGGCAGCCTCACCTACAAATGGGTCTTCAGTGACACCTTATTAAGTGTCATCAATTCCTGCAGACTGGGGGTTTCCCCAAAGATGGTTTTGTCCCCCCACAAATTTACGGATGCTGTTGCGCTTCCTGGAATTTTTAAATAAGAATTCCCTATATTTCAGAAATAATTTTTGGAAAACACAACCTCTGATAATACCCTCTCCATATCCACTGTATTTAAGATGTTGGTACATGACAGGCCAGATGTTCCTCCATAACTCTCCTCATCTCGGCTTGTGTAAATGGGACATTTACACTTTGTTACAGGCCCAGCCAAGCCAAAAACATCTGCACATCATCCCTGAGTTATTGCCACCACTGCCTGATCATTCTCTCTGCTCCTACAGTCTTCAGATTCCTGGGCAGGGACACACAGCTGGTGCGGGCGGCCTTTTGTGAATACTGGCTTCACTGGGCCACCACCCAATCCAGGGTCCCCAGACCCTGAGGCAGATGGCAAAGGACCCTGGAGCTTGCAAGGGAATCTCAGTAGATGTCTTCTCTTTCCTCCTCCTCAATCTCATTACTTTCCATTGTAACTTATTTAGATTTTTGTTTGCTTTTTGCTGTATTTATGTAAATTTCCATGACTCCCTGCTCTGAACTTAATACCCCAGGACAGAGGACAAGACAGCCCAGAAACAAACATCCCTGGAAACGCAGCACAGGGGCGGCCACGTTTGCCAGGACGTCTCGTATGAGGGCACCTGGCCGGGAGGAGCACAGGAGCACAATGCCAGGCTGCTGGGGCGGGGCCTGGGCTCTGAGGAGGTATCTCACGTACGCCACGAGAAGAGAGAGATGCTCGTGTACCACACACAGCTGCTCAACTTCCCCCTTGCAGTCCATCCAGCTCTGGGCAGGGCTTTTGTTTTGAGGACTGTGTTCTAAGTTTGGGGTCCAGGCTGAACTACTAGGGCTACAGAAGGTAGGCTGAGGCAGTCAGGATCCATCCATCCCTCCACACCCTCCCCACACTCTGCCTGTCCTCCAAATAAATGTCAAACAGTAATTTAAAGACTATGTATTCTCAGGAACCAGTATTATCAGCCTGCCAGGGGCATCTGCCCGAGCCAGCTGGGCCTGCCTCCCACTCTCCCTCTTTAGCAGAATGAGGATGGTTTAAGATTTGCTTACTCTGAGAAGCCTCCTTTGATTGGTTTACCTCCTCCTATAAGACTTGTGTCTATCCTTAAGTCTTCTTCGCACATACCTATCGTGCATCTCCAACTAGTAAGTGCCTTGCAGCACAGAGAGTGTCTTCAATTTCTTTTCACAAGCACTCTAAATAAGTAGTACTCCAACATTCAGTCGGGCTCTGTGGCAGACTGCATTTTCCAAAGGTGGCCACATGAAGATCTCCCACCCTACATGCACTCGTTCCAGTGTGACTGACACGCCTGCTAAGAGGTGAAGTCTCTGCTCCCTCCCTCTGACTGCAAGTGGGGGCTCGTGACTGCCCCAACCCATAGAATAAGATGGAAGTGCTGCTATGTGCCTTCCTGGGCTGGGTCACAGAAAGGAGACAGCTTCCACCTGGCTCTCTCCTTCTGGGCTCTCTCCTTCTGGGACACTCACTCAGAGAAAGCTGAGTACCGTGCTGTGAGGAAGCACAAACTAGCCCATGTGGAGATCCACACAGGGAGGAACAGAGACACCCAGCCATCAGCTGGCATCACCCACTAGACACACGAGTGAATGAGCCCCCAGATGACTCTGTCCCCAGCCCTTGAGTCTTCTAGCACAGACCCCAGACGTGAAGCAAAGACAAGCCATCTGCACCGCCCTTGTCAAACCCCTGACCCACAGAAGGCACAAGCGTGATCCATGCGGGCTCAGTGACACTAGGCAGCCATAGGAACTAAGGCAGGTTCCACAAATGTGGCCACAGGATGAGCAATTCCAAACCTCTGCCCTCTTTAAAATCGACTTTTGTTAACTGCCCCCAACAGCCTTCTTTCCCTTCATCACAATGGAGCTCCTATCTTTAGCTCCGACAGGGCATGACCTTTCTACTCAGCCTCATAAGCACTGTCTACCAACCACATTTCTTCTGCAAGGCTGGGCTGCCCTGGGGAAAGGGGAACCAGAGGGAAAAGTCATTCACAATCCAAGCAAAGTGCTTCCTTCCAGAGCACACCACTGCCCCCCACCCCACGGGGAGGCGTATTTGAACCGCTGCCCAGTCAAGGGTAAGAGGACATTTTTCCTTCCCAAATGAAGACTGTGTTCAGCCCAGAGAAGACTCTCCACCAACCTGGCGTGGTGTTAGTGACAATATAGAATGGTGCCGGCACCCACCATGGCTGCCGGTGGGGGAGCAGGGATCTTCTCCACAGACAAGTACAGGGGCAAAGGCACCATCCAGCCAGGACTCCCCTCAGTCTATCCTGCTCCACTATCTCACCTCACTCTCTCACTTAAAAAGGCTGATGGTTGGACAAAAGTCCCTCAGCTTGACGAAGTGCTAAAAAGAAACCTTTCTTCTCAAGCTCCATACAGACTCTGAGTTTCTGCACAAGTTAGAACTCTCCACAGAGCCACAGCAGAGTAACCCTCACCACCGCGGGAAAGAGCACAATTTGTTCTCTGAAACAGGATCTTAGCTTTCCTGGGGAAGAGGCACCTTTGGCTCTCACGCAGAAACAGGCAGCCACTTTCAGAGGACTCACAGGTGAGGAAAGTTCCAACAAAGGAAATGGTGAAATCTCTCTCTCTCTCCCCCCTCGTACACACACACACACACACACACACACACACACCCCATTCTAGAGCAGAAGAGCAGACCACATTTAGGACATTCCAGAAAGAGGCTCTTACAAGTTCCAGAGAGAGCATTTCCAACCACCACCACCCCCAACACACACACACATACATACACAACGCATCCAGTATCCAGCCAGCATAGAGTCCAGGGTGCACAGTCCGCACCACACTTCCTAAGTGAGGAGCCCCTGCGCATCTCATCAGCTCCAGCAGTCTGGCTGTGCTCACAGGGGAGCAGCATGCTCTGTAGGACCCTACACCTCGCTGTGTGCCAGCATCAGGCACACTTTTGACTCCAAAACATAAAAGCAATCATGGGCTTCTCTGGAGCAGCTTCCCTCCAGGCGTATCCAGAAATGCCCAACAGGACCACTTTTCTTCCCGCACACTCATTCCCAGTTCCCAGGGCTTCGAATCCTCTCCTGCCCCTTCCTGCTCTAACCTATACAGCTCACCAGCAGCCTTCCAAGGTCTCAGTGATTGCTCACTTTATTTGCCCAATTCACATCTAAATGTAAACCTGCATACAACTTGTTATGAGCATTTTTAGAAGGCAAACTCGTTTTGAAATCAGCTAACTATGACTCGTTTGTGGAGAGCTGGCCAGGCGTCCCGAGCCACACACTGTACCCCAGGAAGGTGAGCTGAAGCTGACCACCCACGGGTGGCACATTGGGGAGGCTGTGGGCACAGTCTGTGTAGGGACAGGAGGGACACTGCTTACCGTCCCTCCACTGGGGCTGGATCTTACTTTAATTAATTCAACATCTTAGTACATTTTGATGCATGCAAAGGGGAAAGTTTGATACCAGTACGAGAAACAAACATTTTTCTTAAATATGGTGCAATTGAGACAAAGGCAAAAATCATGAAGGAAGACAGAAATAGAGGCTTTTAGCCATTCTCAGATGTAGCTAAGACAGGAGGGGGAGGCCCCGCATGGAGGGGGCAGGGGCTTCACCAACAAGCCCTCACTCGCTAGGCTCTCTGTTTGCCAGGCCCCGCCTCTCACGCGGGACATCCCTCTTTTCAGTTCTCACCCTTGGACAGAATACATTACCCAGAAATCACTTTTGTGTCCCTGCCCTAGAGCATTACATTTTTTGTTTTAAAGGAAATGTGCTACGTACCACCACTTTTACATAAAAATCTTATTCCTCCAAATAGCAATTAACTCTCGCCAATCAAGCAACTAGAACAATTTCATCTAATTGCTGTGACACTGACATCATGGGTAGAGCAGCCACCAAAATTAAGCTCAAAAAAACCTATAGATTCCAGCAAACCAAAAGCTATAAACCAGTAAGGATAATCCTTAAAAGAAAAAAAAAAACTTAACTTTACCTGTGGCTATAACGAATCGCTATCGTCAACCCAAGCTGTAATTAAAAAGAGAGAGAGATACATATTAAATAATATCAAGAATATGCTGAAATCACAAGAAAATTAACTTAACATGGTCGATTATTTTTTAAACATTTCCTAAAATGCCCTACTGCTAATGCTTCATGAATAACACATTTTAATGATGATCTTTAGTTTCAACTTAGCTCTTAAAGGATAATCATATTTGAAAAGATCTTAAAGAGATCTACAATATTTCATTAGACAAAAGGTGTCTCTCATCCAAAAAGACTCCCAAAACAGGGCTCTTTTTCCCCCTTTTTTTCTTTTAAAAATTTTTTTTAAAGTTTTACTTTTTATTGAGGTATAATTGACAAAATATGTATAAAGTGTACGACGTGATGATTTGACATACGTATACATTATGAAATGATTACCACATGTTATCATGTTAATTAACATATCTATCACCTCAAATAGTTACCTTTTTTTTCTTTTTTTGGTGAGAACACTCAAGATCTGTTCTCTTAGCAACTTTCAATATACAATACAGTATTGTTAACTGTAGTCACCGTGCTGTATATTAGATCTTCAGAGCTTATTCATCTTACAACTGGAGTTTGTACCCTTTGACCAATATCTCTCCAGTTACCCCCACCCCCCAGCCCCTGGCAACCACCATTCTACTCTGTTTCTATGAACAAAACAGGGCTCTTTCAGCTCTGAGACAAAGCCATGAAAGGGTGAGATTGCAGTGAGCAGCTGATTCTGAGGTTCATATTAGGAGAGCATCGCCACACCAGAGTCCTGGGAGTGGTCCCCTCTCTACTCCCTACCCCAGGGGGACTGACCACTGGGGACAGAGCCTCCCTGTGGGGACCAGCACAGATTTCACACTGATCCCAAAAGCTCAAGGCCAGCAAGTTGCAGCTCTGAGGACAGCAAGGAAATCCAGCCTGTGATATACGTGTGATATTAAGAGAAAGTGTACACGATTGCTGGGCACAGCAAGTGGAGACCCAAATGACACTGTGATTTCCTCTTTACTCTGCGGGGGTGTCGTGGAAACTTCTCAAGCATAAGTGGGGGTCGAATCGTATGGCGTGGGCCTCGGCTAGTTCATGCACGGTCAGTAGTGGATTACAGAAGAGTCACGCCAACCACGTTCAACTGCCAACTGTAGGGGCGTCAGCAGGTTATTTAAACTCTCAGAGCCTCAGTGTTCACAAATGTAGAAAGGGCAAAATAATTGTTTTCTCATAAGATTAATGTAAAGATTACAATTTGTCTATATTGGTGCTTATATCTGTGTGCGTGTGCACATGTGTGGTGCATACTGCCTGATAGGAAAAACTGTATAAATAATAACTACCACTACTACCACTATATAAAGGCAATACGCCATTTATGAAAAGGTTGTCACATTCCGAAATTTAATTTTTAAATTAGTTTTTGGAACTTTGAAAGTATTTCATATAAAAAAACAATAATCAGTCACCATCATGCCTATATAAGTCTCATTAACCCACTTTTGGCTAAACTATGACATTACTAGTTTAAGAAACTCATGGCAGTTAAAAGCCTAAGCATCAACCATAGTATCACATGTGGGCAAAAAGTCTACCTAAGTTGCACCTTATCCCCAAACACATCATTGCCGGTTCCCTTGATGTCAGCCCCATGGAGGTGGGGGTGGGAGGTGGCTTTTGTAGCGCCATCCTGGGTGCTGCAAGATGACATGAGGGTCCCGGGGCAGTGGGATGGTGGAGGGATGGGGAATCACAAGGGGAGGGAGCGTTAGAAGTAAACTCATTGAGATAAGTAAAGCCCACGCTCTGTCCAGCTCGGCATCCTGCAGAATCCCCTAGCTACTGTTTGAATAACTCGCCTCCAGAATAATCTGGCTGGGTGTCATCAGTGCATACACCTAAAATACAGTGAGCCATCAGGAATCAGGGAGAAGAGGCTTAATTTTACAAAAAGCATATCTAAAAATGAAGGCAAGAAATATATACCATCAAGTTGGAATCCTATCCCACTCACCTGAGTTTATTCAATTATCTCAACTAAGCCAAGAGTGTATTTTCTCTGAGACTTAAGCAAACAGAAGAAGAAGATGCCTTAGGGACAATCAAGAATTGAAAGGAGGAAATTACTTGGGGAATGAAATAAAAACAGAAACTGCAGCCAAAATGTCAGGACAAGCAATTTACAGATTTCACATGCGGGGTAACTACATTTCCTGGGGTTAAAAAGTTCCGGCTTACAGTTAGGCTAATTATAAGATAATTTTACCGACTGAATATTTGGATAAGCTTTGGAGTCCTGTTTAATTGGTGGCTTTTCCACAGTTGAAAGATGAGCCTTTGCTGGAGTAGGGAAAGGAAACGGGCATGGGAGGGACAAGAATAAGAAAAAAGCAGAAAAACGTTGTTAAATGGCAGCTGTGCTGGTTAAAAGGGGATGGGAGATGAACCCTTCACAGAGGTGAATTTCAATTAAGCATTTTTATTAGTTTTTTTTTTCCCGGCTTCTGAATCAAATATGTTTTATTGCCATTTTAAAAAGGACATCTTTGTTAAGGAAGAAAGTGTGAATCATGGAATCATACGGACCAGCTGCAGCATCCTGCAGGCCTTGGAGTGAACAGGCCAGGTAAAGACGTGCTGAGGAACGAGAGGATTGGAACCCACGCAAAGGCCCCGGAGCTACGTGGGAGCTAACGTATGGGGTGGATGGGAATGGCGCACTGCACAGTCATTCTGGAAACGTGGCTTGAAGTCCACATAGAATGCACTGGATCTAATTAAGCAGCCCTGAGAAGAGCGTAGAAAACTTATTGTGGGCCTTGCCATGAAACCCCAGGTTGGAACAGGCAAATGAGGCCAGTGAGCTTGTAAGGAGCCTCCTTATGCCTGCTCCTCCCCACTCCTACATATTATCTGACCCTAGAGAAGGCAGGGGAGGTAGAAAATTCTCTGAGGTTTCTGTACCATAGCACATACCAGATAAAGGTAACTGCGTAATCTGCTGAGAGATGGGCCAGAGACACCTTTCTCTCTTGGCCTTAGGAACGTCCATGAGCCAGTCAGGCCTCTCTGAGCACTCGCCCTGCTAAGAAGCATCAGCAACTCAGAAATGCTTTGTCTCAACACTGCCTGTGTGTGCACATACATGCACATGTGCACACACACACACTGTGTGCACACATATGCACACATACACATGTACATATTCATGTGTGCGCATGCACACACGCACTCACACATCCACACTCGTGTACGTGCACATGTGCACACATGCACTTGTATGCATGCGTGTGTGTACACCTATGGATAAGTATGTGTTCATGTATGCATGTGCTTACACAATACTCCCATGCACATATATCATGCACCAATACACATGCACATACACACACATATACGCATTCATACAGATGTGCATACACGCCCTTACCCATGTGCACAGAGACACTCTGGCATTCAGAGAGGCCCATGGAGCCCCTGAGACAAAGGGAGGCCTCAGACAATTGACCCTTTTGTTGCTGGTCTCAGCAGGGACTCAGAGGAGAGAGAGGAGGGCAGCTGGGGGGTTGGCCCCTGACCCCGGCCCAGCCTGGGCTGAGGCCCAGGGATGTAGAGGTCAGTGGGAGTTTCGTGCGGCCGCCCTCCCTGGAGCACACCCTCCAGGACGTACTGTAAGTATTGCCAGAAAGCACTTAACAAACTCCCATTTGGACTACTTCTTCTTAGGCTTACACAGTTTGTTAATCACAAAATTAAATCACATTTTAATGGCAAGGAAAGAGTAATTTAACATTTTTTAAAATCTCCACCAGCTACAAAAACCTTTTTCTTGCTGCTTCGGCCTAAAAATGCTCCTTTTTTGGAACAGCTGACTGAGGCAGCTGTTTTGTATCAAGTCTGAAGGTTTTCTATATGACCCAGGGAGCTCAGACAACAGGCAGACCTTCCTGCATTAAAGGGTAATCTGAGAATAATTTGCCATAAAACACCCAGAAGTGCGCCAGCTGTAGCCGGATACGCCCTATAAAGCACCATGTAGACTGCACGGATCCTGTAAAATAATCATCATAATTTTAGAAAACATATTTTTAAAACACATTTTTTAAAAATATTTTAAAGTGGGGCTGGCCCAGTGGCGTAGTGGTTAAGTTTGCACGCTCCCCTTTGGCATCCCAGGGTTCTCGGGTTCAGATCCTGGGTTCGGATCCCAGGCACAGACCTGCACACCACTTATCAGGCCATGCTCTGGCAGTCATCCCACATATAAAGTAGAGGAAGATGGGCACAGATGTTAGCCCAGGGCCAGTCTTCCTCAGCAAACAGAGGAGGATTGGCAACGGATATTAGCTCAGGGCTAATCTTCCTCACCAAAAAAAAAAAAAAATGTTTTAAAGGAAAGAAATGGTTGCACTGTCTTGGAAGGCAGCAGGGACCTTCCTTTACATGTCCACGGATTGTCCCTAAGTATCTCCTCCCTAGTGCCCACTTGACCAAGGGTGTTTGTGATGTTGGGAATCCTTCCTTGAAGGTCCACTGTGCATGTTTACGATGTGCTCTCACACACTACGCTGCCAAGGGCAGGTGAGGAGGAAGAGTCCAGTACGTGCCACCCCAAAGTCACCCAGCTGGTAAGTGGAGCTCCAAGTGCAAGTCCAGAACTTGCTAGGCCAGGGGCGGCATGCTGGCAGGGGCTGTGACCAAGAGCCATGCCCTTTCACAGGCCAGCCACCAACCAGCCACGGCCCCGACACTAGTGCTCCCCATTCCTCAAGAAAAGCTGGAAACCAAGGGTTTTATTATGAAAACTCCTACATTCTAAACTGATTTGAATATTTTTCAAATACATGTAAGCCAAACAAAACATGTCAGTGGAATTTGGCCAGGAGGCCACCAGTCTGTAACCTTGCTTTACACCTCTCCATGCTGCCAAGCCTCTCCTCGGGTTTTCAAAGCTTCGAATCTGGACTAATGAGCTTGTGACAAATCTGGAAAGAGCCTTCATGTTA